TTTTGGAAAAATCCAGAAACCAGCCAACATGTAATGTAACAAGAATCAGTGACAATCTCCAGACATCCACCTTGCTGAATGTTTCTAACTTTCTGTTAAGTACAGAGAAAGTCATGACCAAAAGAAGTGTGTTTCAATGTTTCTGTAACTTTTGTTTTCATCTATCCAAAGATTTTTCAAAAACTTGTCAGGTTTACATAGAAACACGTAGCTCGTCGAAGAAGATCGACATCAGAGAAATGTTTTCACAGACAAGTTGAACAGAGAGAGGGACCATAAGAGCACATGTAAGGTTTGGAATTGGTCCCATTTTTTTGATAATCATCAATCTTTGTCTCTCTTTCATCACTGTTAACAAGTCTACATTTTAAGTCTTGAGAGAGAGCTTCATATCGCCTATCGACAAAATCGCTATCAGAGATTTCTTCTATCTAATCTCGAAAGGGCCAATTTCAAATTAATCCAATTGTCTTTCAAAGATAAGGAAAAAATGTTTTGTGTGTTACATGAGACAATATACTTTACCATAACAATTGAGACTTTACAAATGGGGTTTTGTTTTATTTCTTTCTTTTGCCTAATGAAAACAAGATTTTTCAGTAAGGTAACTCCTGACCTGTAGAGTTTGTATTGTGGTTACCAGACTCAGCCTCACACAAGTTGAATTCTTGAAGGGTTCTTCGAACCGGACTCGAGAGAACATTTGGTTGAATCAAGAGTTTCTCTTGATTACAATCATAGTGCTGTGCTATGTGACTTGAAGGAACATGAGCTCCTGAAGCATTTACGTTTGGTGGAGCGAATTGATGCTGGTGAAACTCTTGCATGGGGAGCGGCATCGATATCTCCTCAGGATCACATTCAAGCTCATTCTGCATAAAGGTAAAAGATTTAGGATACACGAATAACAATCCTTTCGACTTGTATGCGGCTAGTCAACCGAATTATTGAATCTTATGGGCAGATTTATGCGAGGTTATAAAACATAATCGCAAACCAGATACACT